GGTAAGAGAAAAGCGCTTCAGCTACGGACTTGAGTGGGTCTTCTAATCTCCAATGAAACAAACAGTTCAGTATACATTGTAGTTCGTGGTTCTCAGTGTTCTGATGTAGTTCCATCAATGAATCGACAAACGTAGAATCTGGATCTTTTTCCAGTTGCTGTAAATGTTCGAGTACATCTCTATCAACCACCAGTTTTAGTACCCTCATTGCCTCAGCGAATTCATTCCAAACCGTACGCTTACCATTCACTCGTTCGATCGCTTGTAAACCATACATTTGTCATCGTTCGTTTTCGTTCATCACGAGGCAGTCATGTTGTCTTTGACTAGGATGACCGACTTGACAACCATTACAGGATTCCACACAAAGTCTTTCAACTTCTTGTGCGACTGCATTCGCAAAAATTCCTTCCAATAAATTGTAAGATGTGGTTATACCGTGTAGACACGCCATGACTGATGTAGAACTAATACAGAACTATGCCTGCTACAAGACACTTGTCGATTTTATACAGAAACTTGTATAAAAGTTCATAGTAAGCCAATCCTAATCCCTCAATTGTATCATACACGCGGAGAGACGCTAAAAAATGCGTAGTCAGCAAGTTTCGCCCGATCGTGTTTAAGCTCGCCCGCGTGACGTCATTGCATATAATTATGATGTGTGTTAACGAGTGACGTCACTACGCACCCTCATTTGTATGAATATTAATTATATATGAGGTGGTGGACACCCACCACCTCAAACTCCACCACCACACCACCTCACACCACCTCACACCACCTCATCCACCACCACCACCACCACACCACCACCACCACACCACCACCACCACACCACCACCACCACCACCAGACCACCACCACCACACCACCACCACCACAAAAATCCGGCCCGATCGGTACCTATATTACTACTACCATCCATTGGAAGTTTAAGAAATTTCTCACAGACGTCTATTCGTGCATCTCTTTACAGAATATGCAAATTAGTTTCTTTACGTCATTCCTTGGCTTCATTCGACTTTCTTCAAGAGTAGGAGAGAAATCTTCTGTTTGCGACACGAAACTGTTGACACCATGCCGTGGGAGAACATTGCCCAACATGACAATTCTAATGTATGCTGGCAGGTATGGAAATCACTATACCTCCAGGTCCTTGATCGACACGCTCCCCTTAGACGTATGAGAACTCGTGGAAATTCTCTCCCTTGGATTTCTTCAGACATCAAGGGTATAATGAGATCAAGAGACTTCCACAAAATAAAAGCGGTTAGATATAATTCTCAAAGTCATTGGACAGAATATAAGGAATTACGAAACAAAGTTAATGCTGAACTAATTAAAGCTAAAAGAAACTATTTCTGCAATAAAATAGAAGATTGTGCTCAGTCCAAACACATAAAGCAAAGTTGGAATCTAATTAACCACCTCATGGGTAAAAATGTGAAATCAAACACGATATCCCAACTTAAAACGGATAATTCTGTCATTTCAGACGATAAATTGAAATCTGAGGCTTTCAATGATTTCTTTGTCAATATCGGGGCAAAACTTGCAGCTGAAATTGAAGATAATTCCCTCAACACAAATTCTTTTGCTCGCGGAGATTCTAGGCCTACTACCGACTCCAATCTTTTTTTCAAAATTTCTGAAATTAACGAGGACGAAGTAATATATCAATTGCGTAGTCTCAAAATTTCAAAATCCACAGGAATAGATAACATCCCTGCTAAAGCCCTTAAAATATCCGCGGACATTGTTGGTCCGCCATTAACTTGGATATTCAACCTTTCGATCAAAAAGGAGAATATGTGGATGAATGGAAAAAAGCCTGGGTTACACCCATTTATAAATCTGATGACAGGTTGAAATGCGAGAATTATCGCCCTATCTCGATACTACCCATTGTTAGTAAAATACTTGAGAGATGCGTTTTTAATCAAATTTATAAATTTCTTAATGACAATTCACTTCTTTCAAAACATCAACATGGTTTTCGGCCTAAACATTCAACTCTCACCGCTCTAACTCAGGTGTGCGATACTCTTTATGAAAATATGGATAATGGTCAATTGAGCGGCATTGTTTTTCTTGACATTCGTAAAGCCTTCGACTCAATTGATCATAATATTCTGCTTCATAAATTAAAAGATCAATTCGGTATATCGGATATTGAGTTAAGATGGTTTGAGTCTTACTTAAATAATAGGGAGCAAGTCTGTATTGTTAATAATTCAATGTCATCGTCAAAAAGGATTGTTTCTGGGGTTCCGCAGGGATCTATTTTAGGTCCACTGTTATTCTTACTCTATATCAATGACCTCCCCGAATGCCTTCAAAAAACTACTCCTTATTTATATGCTGACGATACCCAAATTTGCTGCAGCTCTAACAGTTTGATTGAATTAACCGAAAACCTTAATCACGATCTGAGTAGAATCGGTGATTGGCTTTCTAGAAATAAATTACAACACCACCCAACTAAGACCAAAATAATGTTCTTTGGCTCTAAACATCATATTAATTCCACAACTTTTGATCATCCAGTGATGTTAAATAACCAACGCATCCCCAGAGTTCACTCTTTCACATGTCTTGGTCTCGATTTAGATGAAAATCTTAACTGGAATTCACATATTCAGGCGATTTGCAAAAAGGTTGGAGCAGGCCTGGGTACTTTGAGACGTATTAAACCCTTTGTTCCAATAACCACCCTTCAAACAATTTATCGAGCTCTGATTCAGCCGTATTTTGATTATTGTTCTCCCATTTGGGGCGTCTGTGATCAAAATTTGAAAAATAAACTCCAAAAATTTCAAAATCGCGCAGCCCGAATCATTGTCGGTGCAAGTTATGAGATTAGATCTGCTGATGTTCTTCAATCTCTTGCTTGGGACAATTTAGAGACAAGACGACGTACAACCAAAGCAATATTAATGTTTAAAGTCTTGAAGGATTACGTAGGACCTACGTTGAAAGAATCCTTGATAAGACGCAATCATATGCAAACAAATTATGATCTTAGAAATAGTCATACAGATTTGGCTCTTCCTAAGCCTAAAAGAGAATTCCTAAAAAAGAGTTTTAAATACAGTGGGGCTAAGCTATGGAATAGTCTCTCTATCGATACGAAACTGGCAGAATCAATGCACCTGTTCAAAAGCCATTTAAAACTTAACTCTAATACTATATATATTTGAAATAAATTGTAACTCCGTCTAACCATAACATCTGGGGTCACACCAATTTGTAAATAGTCTTCTTTTCCCTTATATCTTTTGTAATTTTTAACATTGTAGACGCCCCCCGTGGAAACCAACGCACCGTTGACGGGGCTAGTGTCTCTAAATAAAGTTTTAATACAATAATACCAACATTTCTATAACGGGATTGTTTATAATTCGACTCTTTCACTTCTTTCTTGTTTGATTCTCCTTTGAGAAAGCATTGAGAGATCACAGCGTTACATACAATCCGGGCTTCTTTCTTCAGAAACCGGGAGAATTCCTTGAATGAAGGATAGTTTCTTCCCTCGATCTTTTGTGGCATTCCAACTTCATCTTCGTCATCACTTCGTTCGTTAACGTCTTCTCCAATCCGATTGTCTACAATACGCCCCCATTTGTTCGCAAGATAGTTCGGGAGTTTACTTAGCATCTTTCAATTTTCTTCTGGATCATCCAAGACGTTCAGGCAGTTTATTTTGTCCATCGCGGTACAGCAGTGTTGGAGAAAATCTGAATATCTTCTGAGACCTGGACCATCATTCGGCGCACTCTTTGGCCAATTCTCCAATTTCTTTCGATACGCATTCGAGGCGAGGAAGAAATTAACAAAAACCTGTTCGCTAGGATTTTCTTGGCTTTCGCGTAGGCTGTTTCTGTGTCCAAGGGTAAGAGACCGCTTACTGCTTCTTTCGCTTCCTCAGATGTGTACTTTCCGAGATAATAAAGTCTTTTGGATGGTTGATTCGTTTTTCTTTCGATTAAAGTCTCGAAGGCCTTGATCCAAATTGGATATTGAAGTAGATCACCACTGAAGACATCGGGCTGAGGACGTGGGAGTGAATCGTAATCTTGTCATTGTGCGAGCAGGTCCACCATTCTTGTTAATGAATCTCCATTGGCATTGGCATTTGCATTGTACCAGGCAAAGACGTGAGGCGACGTATCTCTCCTGATCGTAGAAACGGGGAGTGATTCTTTTCACATTTCTCCTTGCGATACAGCTAGCGGAGGAGTTGGTAGTATAAAGCTCGGATGTGTCGTTGGGATGGGAGGAGATAAAGGATTTAAATCGTTGCCAGGTGTCACTTGATCTTTTGAATTTATGCCTGTATCTAGAGTTTTGCTGACTATGGATCCACAGATATCTATGTCAACTGGAAGTGTGCTTAGGCCCTTATTGTTGATGGTATGCTGAGATTCCAGATACTGCTTTACTCGTTCTCCGGAGTTGTCGTCATCTGGCAACTTCAATGCTGTAACTTGACGCAACTTTAGCGACTGCCTCGATTTCGGCATCAGTGAGCAGCTAGCTCCTTTGAGATTCGGAAATGTTTCAGTTCATCTTCTTGCCTTTTTAAGTCAGCCATCTTTTTATTTCAGCGTCATGAAATTTTAGCTCAGTTTCAAGTCTAGCTTTCTTAGCTAGCATTTCCGACCTCCGACGCAGCGAGAATTCGATGTCTTAGTCGATGTCGATTTTCCAGATGTTTTGCTTCGATGCGAGCGTTTAGAAATTGCAGAGCTTCGATCGTCCATTAGCTTTGAAATTCTCGTATTCAAATCACTTAAGATTTTTTGATGTATGCGACACCATTGTTCGTATGTAGTCGATTGTTCCCTGCTAAATAAGCCACCAGCTTTTATTTTCGTGTTCGCCAAATCATCCATACGCTCTGATAGTATCGATCTTTCATGTTGTAACGCAAACACATTGGCTGAATCTGCCAGAACGGCTTCTGCTATATTCGCTTGTTTTCGCCATGCTCTGGATGCAATTGAATAGTCTCGTTGTAATAGCTGACGTTGGTATTCTTCTCTCTTGAGGGTAGGTATTCTTTCTCGTTGACTTTCACGAATACCGGTCGCGAAAGCCGTTTTTAATTTCTTCAGTAACGCCGTCTTCGTCGACTGTGCCCTTCTTAAATTCCTCGGCCATGTTCAGCTAAACCATATACTGTTGAATTTGATGTCTTTACCACGAGCAAACGGCCATTCTCTTAAACACGGGAGAGTTTTTACTGTAAAGGATCGGACTTTGAAAGCGGCTGAGTTTACTGAACTGTCCCGATAAACTCGACAAAACAAACCAACAACAACGCATATACCTTTCGTGGTCTATGTCACAAACGCATAGACTCTTCGTGGTCTATAGTCTTCTTGTATGTTAAACGTATATTTATCCAGGACAGTACGTAAAAACTAAAATAACAATAATTACAAGCCATCAATCTATCTACTTCGCTATACATTACAATTATAAATTACTACAGTATATTATTATATAAACGTACCTCTGTCCCCGCAGATCCCTTTTTATAAACTCTTCGTTAATAACTCTCGTTTATATCACCGTTCAATTTCGGACAACCTTCTTCTAGCAAGCGCTCTAACTATATCTACACAATTCAAAATTCTACCTACTAATATTTTTGGGTTAATTATTTATTCATGCATATATTATCATAAACTGTTTAGAATAATTAAACTAATTAGAAATCAATTCTTAACAATATGAGTGTGGTGACCAAAGTCCATGCACCCCTCAACAATTATGAAATGTATTTATTGGCCTCTGTGTCCTGTCGCATTGATGACATCGAGGCTTGGATTTCTTTGTTCTGCCGGGAAGAATTGCTTCTAGAACAGTTCTTGGCTTCTTGCTGTTCTGGTATAAAGATCTTATCACATAGCCAGTAAAATATGATCATGGTTCAAGCTCCTGAGGTGACAAAGACAGTTTTTCCTAAAATTCAAACAAGAATCTATGAACTTGCTCCAAGTCTCTCTTTCATTGTCATATCGATCCACTTTAGTGTACATTACATGACGTAGCACGGAGTGGGGGAGCGAGAAAGGGAGACTTGTCAACTTCGGAAAATCTCGGTTCAAAACTGAACCGAAAATGCAAGACTTGCTTTAATAGTTTTCCTTCAATTTCTTTCTGAATTATTTACTATAATGGAACTGACGTTATTTACACTGTGCTAGATCAATACATATAAACACTGACAGAAAACAATTAAAGCAGGTCTTGCATTTTCGGTTCAGTTTTGAACCGAGACAAGTCTCCGAAGTTGACAAGTCTCCCTTTCTCGCTCCGCCCGTCCGTACTACGTCATGTAATGTACACTATAGTGGATCAATACTATATGACAATGAAAGAGAGACTTGGAGCAAGTCTAGGCGTTAAACAGAGTAAATACTAAAGTAGGGCATACAGTATACAGTTTTTCGTCAACCAACTGAACCAAGTGTGGACCGATATCACGTATTAATTCCGCAACTTTTTCTACTAATATAATTAATAATAATAATAATTTATTAATTTATAAAGCGCTAAACACTATGAATATTCTAAAGCGCTATCATTACAAATTCAAATAAAATGTTATAAAATATGAGATGATACCTATATATACATGTTTAAAATTTACTATTATATTTAAAGATAAAATGCCTTTTTAAAAAAGAAAGGTCTTAAGTCTGTTTTCAAAAAATTCCACTGTTGACGCCTCACGAATGTCAGCGGGAAGTTCAAATTTACTATTATATTTAAAGATAAATTGCCTTTTTAAAAAGAAAGGTCTTAAGTCTGCTTTTAAAAGTTTCCACTGTTGACGCTTCACGAATGTCAGCGGGAATTTCATTCCACAAAAATGGACCAGCTTGGCAAAAGCTCTGTCGCCAAAACGTTTTCTTCATTGTCTTAGGAACTATTAGCAAATTTTGCTTATTCGAGCGCAGGCTGTAGCAACCAATATGCTTAGGTGTCAGAAGGTCTGAGATATAAGGCGGTGCATTAGCATGAAGAGCCTTGTACACCAGCAACAAAATCTTGAAAATCACCTGATACCGTACATGAAGCCAATGAAGGCCAATCAAAACGGGAGTAATATGATCGAATTTGGGGGTTAGACAAACCACACGTGCTGCAGCATTGAGAACTCTTTGTAACCTATCATATTGAGACTGTGGGAACCATAAAACAATGAGTTACAGTAGTCCAGGTGTGAAGTAACAAAAGCCAAAAGCATGGACCAAAATGTTTGTTGTATCTTCTGAACTTTCTGAAAGGAATTTCCTTATCAGCCGGATATTATAGAGGCTGCGAAACGCCTTACTACAACACATTTTTCCAATGTGAATATCCAACGACATATGTGAGTCAAACCACATTCCGAGGCTTTGCACCACCTCCACAGGCTCGATCGTAGATTCACCAACTGTAATTTCATTTATGTTAATCTTTGACATTTGCTGCTTTGAACCGATGATAATAAATTTAGTCTTGGAATCATTTATCAAGAGACGGTTAGAAAGCATCCAGGCACGAATGTCAGCAACACAGTTTTCAATACTCTTTAGTGCAGCATCTTGCGATAAAGATGCATCCGGCCGGAACGAATGATAAATCTGGGTTCATCTGCATACGTATGTGCATCGGGAAGATGTTTATCAATAACCTTAAATAACCCAGCCACATAGAGTATGAAGAGGACAGGACCAAGGCAGCTACCCTGCGGAACTCCCGATTGAAGATTGAAAACTTCCGATTCATGGTCTTTAATTAAAATCGTTTGTTTTCTCTCGGATAAATAAGATGTTAGCCATTTGAGGGCATTTCCAGTTACGCCAAAGTCTTTTTCAAGTGTCTCCAGTAAGATTGCATGGTCGATAGTATCAAATGCGGCACTTAGGTCGATAAGCACAAGAAGCGTAACCTCCTGGCGATCCATACTGAGGAGAATGTCGTTCTGGACTTTTAGTAAAGCTGTTTCTGTTGAGTGATTTTTCCGATACGCTGATTGATACTCGGGAAAATGGGCATTTTCAGCACAATGTATAGATACCTGAGAGATCGTTGCCTTCTCAGCAGATTTGGCAACAAATGCCAGGTTGCTTATAGGTCTGAAGTTTTCAAACATAAAATCAAGCCCAAATTTCTTCAAAAGAGGTACAACCAGCGCTATTTTCCAATGATCGGGTACAATTCCTTCAGAGAAAGAGAGATTAATGATTTCAGCGATGATTGGGGCCAATTCATGACAACAGAGTTGAACCAATGATGTAGGAATAGGGTCCAACTTACTGGAAGCATTCGAAGATTCAAGGATAATCCTCCGAACTTCATTCTCAAAAACCGAAGAAAATTCATCCAATTTCACTTCAGGCAGATGAAATGGAACATTAGGTGGGTTAATGAAAATCTCGTCAATCTTTGTTTTAGATGTAGAAGATCCCTCACCGAATTCTGCAACATGTTTCATACTGCGTTGGTGTCTTGTCAGGCCACCTTTCGATTTGCAAACTTTCTCACAGAAACTGCAACTCTGCAAGGAAACTGTTTCTTTCCTTCAACTTAGAGACGATGTATTGAAAGGAAAAATATTCATTAGGTATATATCTATGTTTACAGTAATATATGTATAAAAATCATTGCCAGTTAAACTTCGATCTGAACTTCATCCACGTCCATCTCGAGAAGCGCAGTTGTTTACTCGAAATCGTCCTCAAAAGGTGAACAAGAGCTTTCTGGATGCTCGGTATCAATTTCCTCATCTATTTCCATGTTTCATCTAAAACGTGCGTTTTCAACGACCTTTTCGAACGGCTTTAGCAGTGTCAACTTCGCTTCACTTGAAATACGATAGCTCGCAAGTTCCTGGCACCCCGTTGATACTATGCACAGCGTCAGCAATTTGGCTTATCACACATAAAAACGTCTCAAAAGTTGCCACTTACGATGGAGATTTACGATAAAACCTCGTGTTTTACCGAAACCTCGTATAACGAGCGAAAATTAAAGATTTTTAAGTTGTCAATAGGGAATTGTATTATAGAATCACGCCATGATGCAGTATAACTGTCACGTGATGCCATCTATCGAGTTCAGCTCACGAAAGAGGGCGTGATCCTTTGAAGTTTGCCAGCCTTCCAAACCCTCTCATTATATTAACTGTGGTTGAATATTTCTGAATTTGTAAAGGGGAACAACTTTCTTCGCTTTAACTTTAGTTAATGAGAAATTATTACAACACTTCATGAAACTGTCAATCCGCCTAGCATGGGACATAACATTTCTTGAACAAAAACAGATCCCGATGCATCATACTTAACGTACGATTTCTCGTGTTAAGGTGGCTCCCTACAGTTATTCTTGCTTAAGCAATAATTCCGTAAACAGGCTTATTCGTGCAGAACGCGAATTCTTTTCGACTTGGTGGCAATATTGGTCACCTAAGGAATATTTCGAACTAGATTTCGACGATGTCAATGTTCTCGTGGCAACATGACGACAGCATAAAGCCTTCCAATTTAACCCATAAATGTGCCACTATCTCAAAAACGATGTCGGTGATCTATCTTTTTTATTTCATATATCAATAAGGAATGATGCTCTGCAAGTGTGGTGAAAGTTTAAAAAAATTCTGTAGTGTGTGATTTTTTTAAAAGCAAAAAATTTATTGCGAAATTTCCACACTACAGATTTTTTTAAAATTTGAAATTTATAAAATTTACCGCAAAATAAATTCGTGGTCAAAATTTGAAGATAGGTCACCGATGAAACTAATGAGTAAAATGCAAATAAAGTTAGAAAATAGCCTCGTGTAATAACTCGAGAAATTCCCCTATTGAAAAGCGTCGCTGACTAGTAAAAGATTGTACGCGGGCGCAGAACGAGTTTTCATTCAGCAAAATCGAGCCGCAATGTTGTTTTACTGTTTTGTTTTTGTCAACTTTTCGATTTATTTGAGTGCTATGGACAGCCAAGAATTATTGTGAAGGATTAAATCGATGAAAACAAGGTTGAAGCTAATTGAATCCTGCCGTTTACTCAATCTATGAGCTGTATTAACAGGTGGACGTGTTTTTTGTCTGTGAACAATTAGGCTATGAAACTGAAATATTTTTCTGTTTACATATAATCACTTTAAT